ACGAGTACGGAATTTGTCCAGAGTTCAACAGAGCGGGATTCGAGATTTGAACATTCTTACATTTCAATACAGGATTGTACATGCTCCAGACCAAAGAAGATTCGCTATGCCCAGCTGTAAGGATACCTTGACCATTTAGGTATGTACATTTTTTATGATTTTTAACAAAAATATGAAATCCAATTCATGTCCCGGCTGGAGATTCTTATGTTTTGACAAGTGAGTAAGATTACGGAGTAAATGATTTCATTAATTGTTCATTGTAAGATTCGACGATGAAAAGTGAGGGCTCCAACGACATTGAAAAAGTATTAATAGAAAATTCGACAGCATCGGCTATTTTCACTTTTCTGATATTTTTCATTCTCAAATGGGAATGAGAGCTGATGAGAGTTTAGAAGCGAGTTGTATAAGAGTTTTCTCAACTCTCATGAGTCATGCCCCGATCAAACGGCGAGAACAAGAGTTGCATGAGAGTTAGTGATGAGAGTTGAAAAGCGAGAGTTTGCATGAGAGTTTTCTCAACTCTCATACCCCGATCAAACGAAAACAAGAGTTGCACGAGAGTTGAGAAGCGAGAGTCTGTATGAGAGTCAGTCTCAACTCTCATGTCCCGGTCAAACGAGAACAAGAGTTGCATGAAAGTTAGTGATGAGAGTTGAGAAGCGAGGAGTTTGCATGAGAGTTTTCTCAATTCTCATGTCCCGGTCAAACGTAAACAAGAGTTGCATGAGAGTTGAGAAGCGAGAGTTTGTATGAAAGTTTTCTCAACTCTCGGCATGCCCCGATCAAACGAGAACAAGAGTTGCATGAGAGTTAGTGATGAGAGGTGAGAAGCGAGAGTTTTTGTCTGAGAGTCAGTCTGAACTCTCATGCCTCGGTCAAACGAGAACAACAGTTGCATGAGAGTTAATGATAGTTGACTGGATATTACCACGCGTGTGGCGAAAACTCTCATCAACTCCCATTAAAATTTGAACCAGTTCAAAGACAAAATTGATGAGATCGAGTCGATGAGAGTCGGCATGAGAGTTGATGAGAGTTCGAACCAGTTCAATGTCGACAAGAATAAGAGTTTGGCGGTCAAACACGCGCGAGCGATGGTTGAAACTCTCGTCAATTCTCATCTTTATGGGCTTTAGGTTAGAAAACGTCGACGGATTTAAATGGGGATCAAGTTCTCATAATTACTGCGAATACGGCGTTGTACATTACATAACATATGAGCCTTACCAAAAGCTGTGCTACAAGTTGCTGAAACAATTACTGGAGAAAGCATATATGTTTTTTCCGGGTACTGTTCGGTTCGGTTCTCACTCCAAGGAATGTTGACAGGATAGGCGAGGCCTCAGATAAGGGAAACGTCGAATGCATGTGAGTGTTATTGTGAATGTCGTTAACACAAAAATTCATGCATTGTGTGTTCTGCCCCGTAGAAAACGCGTGTTTTATCTTTCCACATTTTTGTTTAACAGTGACAGTGGCCGGGCAGTGGGCTGAAATATCTATCTCGGATTACGGGCTGAAAATTTCTCATGTAATGGTGGATAAAAACCCCTAATTTCCTAATCTTATTGTCTAATAACCAGTTACGGCTATTCGCACGATATTTATGTGCTTAAGTGTGCCTCTATTATATGGCTGGGGCCTTTTAATTACCACACAATTGAAAACTTCCTTTTTTAATCAGACTTCCAGTCTGTCCTGTTTTTCAATCTAGAAGACAAAAGTTTTTCCAAATATTTAACTGTAGCTAATACTAATGCGGTTACCGTTGTTTCTTTAAATTATTTTTTTATGAGTAGTTTTATTTCATGTTGTTAACATTCTAACTTGCCAAACTTTCGAACCAAGTTATACGTTGTTTGTGTATACCATGGACTAGTATCCCAAAGGTTGCGAGTTCGATTCCCACGGTGGTCAGGCAAAATTTTCAGCTTGCCCGGTGTGGATGCACACTCAGAGTAACATCACAAACATCATGTTCACCTGAGTACATAACACCAACACACACAAATAGTATCATATCAAATTAAATTATACGTTTTACCAAAACTCGGCAAAACCACACGTGAGATATTTTGCAACACACGACGCACAGGACAAAAGATTTTAAAATATAAGACATATTACGTAGATGCTCCAATATATCCAATTTGATGGACAAATATATCTGTCTAATTACTAATTAGTTAATGGGTAATGCAATTATGGTTAATTAACATAATTGGCGTATGCCGCTAATCGTGTGCAGTCATTTTGTGCCTCGGCAATTGAATAGCAAATGTATAGACTTGTGAGAAATGCCCAGATTTTGACGGGATAATTTCACAAACTAGAAACCAAATCTAGTCTTAACCATGGTCAAACAAGGATGAAAGTTTATAAGAGTTTAATTTAACTTTATATTGCCGCGCGAAACCGTCAAATGAGCAGACGGCTCTGCTCAAAATTTGAACCAACTCAAAGACAAAGTTGATGAAAGTGTCTTGTAAACCCTCGTCCTCAGTTAATCAGAGCTTTTAAGAACTCGACACCTTTTCCCGTTTCCAATCGCTTAAGCCCTGGTCAAATGAGAGTAAGAGTTGATGAGAGCTGAGAAGCGAGGGTTTGTGCAAGAGTTTTCTCAACTCTCATGTCCCAGTCAAACGAGAACAAGATTTGCATGAGAGTTGTATATGAGAGTTGCCGGACTGGATATTACCGCGCGGGTGGCGAAAACTCTCATCAACTCTCATCAAAAGTTGAAGGATTTTAATTGCGTAAATGTCAGAATCAGGGTAAAATCGACATAACTTTGTCCAAAACATTTTTGAATGTAAAATCGGCCATCGCGAAGTAATAAAAACACAATGATTGGAACCTTATGGAATTGGTCATTTATATGTAATTTACAAAAAAGTTATTTTATACAATATATATTAATTTCAATAGCATTCAAGTTTATGACTATATGATCTGAATCTGGTCTATGATAGTCGATCTCGAAAGCTCCCGGACTTCTTTTTGCTTCAACAAAAGCAAATTGAATTCTTTTGTCTTCTAAACAATTTTTTGTTTGTACAGCAACGTAAAACCGAATAGCTCGCGGAAATATTCGTCTTTCATCGTTAAGTAGCTTGTGGTTGCTATTAGTGTCGAGGAGTTCTTTCGATAGTGTCCAGAAATTGTTTACAATATTAATGAATGGCCACCGTGCGGTTTTGTAATTCGAGTTTATCCTTTTTTGGGGTGTTCGATGACGCAAGTCGTCAGAGCAAAAAGCGCCTTTCACCTCCGAGATCGTGGGTTTAGTCTGAGTTAGGGACAACAATCATTCAACGCTCTACAGAAAGTCGTGGGTTTTTTCCGGGTATTCTGGTTTCCTCCCACAGGAAATGTTCTGACAGAGTGGGCTGCTCTGTGATAGTCGTAACATGAGACGTGCTAAAGTACTGGCACGCAGCTTAGTTCTGGTAAGGAAGATTAGCACACCCACACTTACTTACGTTTTACAGTAAATAACACAAAAGTCTTTTGGCAGGGTTCTGAAGGGAAGTGGAGCGGGATTCAATGGTAGCGACAATTCGTGCGAATGCAAATGATGATTTTTTTATGAAATGTATTGGCTCGCCAACGACTCGCATTGCGAATCATCGCTAAAAATTGTCATGTGGGACATCGCATAAACTGGTTTTTCCGCGTTTGACATCATTATAAGAAAGATCTATTGGACCACTTCCATTTTCCCACCCAAAATTTTAAATGAACCTCAGTCAATAGTCAGCATCCGACTAATCTTTTGCAAAACCTATCTTAGCAGCAATTAAATTTGCCGGTGCCGAAACAGCCGAATCCCATTCCCCGTGGGCCAAATATTATAGAGGTTTAGAATTGACTTCGACTATTCTCACAGTCTCAATGGCATTTAAAAATACGCATTTGATTTGTTGATCGGTTGGATTAAACATTTAAATGGATTGGTTAATGGTAAGGCCCGTTTCCACCACAAGGAAAATTTCCACGGACAGAAAATGTTGCGAAAATATCATTGTTAAAAGTTGAAAATTTTCAACTTCAAAAATTTTTTTTCCTATACGGAAAATTTGTGTTGGCCAATCACATTTTACAAAATTTTCTTTTTTGCAGAGGAAAATTTTCCCGAGTGGAAATCGGGCCATAATATTCCAAGCGAATTGCCAATTGGCCTAATAAGCAAATCCCAGCTAATATCTTACCCCTTCGGGACCTCTTCGGGACCTTCTCATGTTTTCGTTATTCCCGTGGCTCGTGACGGAGCTCGGATCGGGCAGTAATTTTTGCTACGCCATATGTTCTCAAGGAAATGCGCGTTTCATCATTACAGTAAATCTCGTTTTATTATTCAATTTTCCAGTCACTTCATTATAATCTTACTGTAAACAATGGCTCTTTTTATGCATAATAACGCTTTCAATTTCCCGTTTATGCGTCAAGTTGCCACAGTAATTGTGGCCGCTTCACACGCAGCTGCGGAAATATTCAACAATCCTTAAACATAAAGTCGACTTTGACCCGCAAAACACAAAACTCTTTTACCCTTTAAAAAACTCGCATCAAAATCAACGTCTTTATGTGTGGCCCTGTTTTTCCACCGACTATTTGCTTACACAAGACGAAATCGTAAGACCAAGGTCACCTTATAATGCGCGGTATTATATTATCAACATTGCCGGAAATATCAAGCCAGTTGAAATCATAATGACGAAACGGCCTTTCCCGTGTGAAAAGTATGTGTTTTTATTTGGCAACGCAATATTGAATTACTCCAATTACTTTTCTTTACGAAATGCTTCTAAATTGACTTTCCAAGTGCGAGTAAAATGATCGAATAGTATGCCGAGGTCATTTCGAGGTGGTTTTAGGCAGGGCGCCATCCCCCCGGATTTAATTCGAGTGCTTGGCAGACCACGTGCGTCGATTGTTCTAATCGCGCCCTAAATGGCGCGGCTATTGTTCCGCTCATACCATATATGGAAACGGTCAATTTTCCCACGGCAAGAGAATCGAAGCATAATTTCCCACGGACCCATGGCCGTCGCGAGAGAGCTACATGTTGACAAGTTTGGACCCATCTTTCTCCGCTTTCTGGGCACGATTCGACTCGATATTAACAATACACAAAGCTCGGAGATAGACCTATTCATCTCTGCTAATATTAAAGGACTTTGACCGATTTACGCTCAACAATTTCGTTTGAATTCGGCTTCATTTTAAACAGTGTTAAAATCCGTGTGCTTCTGATACTAAAAGACAATACACTCTCAATATGGAAGGCTTTTAGCGACCATTTTGCTTTCATAAAGGTAGGCTATGTGTTTTAACAGCAAGGACACGTATATATCTATATATAACAGGGGAATCGGACCGTTTTGGGGTAGTATAGACGCTTGTTTATAATTCAACCGAGCTCGGCTTTTTATACCGTTGACTTGTACTTGTAGTTTATAATAGCAAATTTAGGCCCCCCTGTCGTGCGACAAAAGATGGCCAACAGACAACTGAGCTATTTTCCTCTTTGTCTTTACATTCTAGTTCGACTTGGAATTGTTTTTTAAAGAAATAATATAAATAAAGCCTCGTGTACGAACGTATTGTTAATGGCCAACCAACACGAACAGCGCTTTCAGAATCAAATCGCGATGTACGAATACCCATCGTCGCTTGCCACATTGAGGCATCACCCAAATTTCGAAAATGAATTCGCGGCAGAGTTTCCTAAAAGAGCAAGGCTAGAGTGGACTGGCCCTGGTGCTAACTCGGGCACATATGCTGTATTGAACCATGTAAACTATCGTGTGCCCAGTTCACATTACGTTGAAAATCAACTAGCACATCGCGTCGCGAGTACAACCGCGTTCCCCACGTCGAATGAAAGTACTTTTGTGGGTAAGTCGAAATCACTGATTTCCCTTCTTTTTCAATGTTAAGAGCCCTTTAGGGAGAGAGGTTTAGAGCTTTACCTCGTTTAAGCTGTAGATCGGGCAATTATAGCCTCAAATTAGCTTTATTGTATGGGGAAACTCTAGTTTAGTGTAGATTGTAATATGTTGTTTTATACAACAGCGGCTGTTACATGTAAATAATACAATAATATATAGCTCTACTGTACTTAGACCCATTCTTTTAGATATGAAAGTCCTTAAGAATAAACCTTTACAGCAATTTTTACTAGCTTTACAATATTATAGCAATAGCTTTATAATAGTATAAAATTGCGCTTGACTGTATTTTTACACATGGTTTTTGAATACAATAATCCTTTTAAAATGAACCATCCCTGTATTCTAGAAAGTACGGCAATTTTGGCCTGTATACAATTTAAAAAGCTTAATTTGTTCGGTTAGAGTTTAGAGACGTTCTCAGTTATATAATACAATTATAATCTTTACTTAATATACATAATTTTTTACGCCAATTCTCTCGTTAACATATGCAAGAATAACTTCAAATTTCAAATAGATAATTCTATTAGCAAACTACAGTATTTTAAATACAGCTTTAGATTAGTACTAACTTTATAGTATCGCTTTACTTTGTAACACAAATTTTTATTCTAGAATTCTTCCGTTTTACTCAAACCAAGTTCAAATTTCAAACCTTCTAGAATATTATTCTAAAACCAGCAATTGCAAATTATATAGTGTATATTACTGTAAAAGACCCTGGTCTTTTTTAAAAACTAAATGTACAAAATTTACAGTTGTTTGTTCAAACCCTGTACGGAATTCCAAGGTGTATTTGCGATTTCCCACGTAAAATTACATATTAATAGTGGCTTTTGAAACATTTTATAGTATGAAAATAATTCGAATTCAATTGCGAATTGAAAGTGTAACAATTAGCGGAATTCCGAGCGTTGTATCAAATTATTATAAAAAGAACAATGTATTTGTTTTTTAATATTTCTAAACGTGTGAAAATTTTACACTTAATATGGCCCCAAGCAAAACGATGCCGATCACACGCTCACAATATAACGACACAAATACTTCAGTATTGTCTGGATATTCGCTTCTGTATAAGATTTTCCGAAGGGCGCGTTTCTTAGTCGGCAATTCCTTTGGCATTATGTATACATATTTATATAATACACGCCTCTTAGATACTGTAGAATTATAATTTCCGAGTTTTGTTTCTGATTTATAGACATAAATTTGGCCTGACTGAATTTTAATAGAACTCATTTCATACGTGTATTATTTATAGAGAGATACATCCGTTTTTAATGTGAAAGACAATATAATTATTCAATATATAGACTTATTAATGATAATAGGATTGTATAGATTAATATTCTTTTCTGTTTTGATAGTATAAACGTAATCACAAATTATTAATAATGTGTTATTATGTCTATATATATACAAGTGAGACATTAGACTAGTTTTTTCTTTATAATATTTTTGTTTTGAGTATCTTAGGAACAAACTAAAGTATTTTTGTGGTTTCAGGATAATAATATATTTTAGAAATCAGTTTCAATACCAGATAATGGAGAAAAACTAAGCAGTTTTATTTAACCCTTTAAATGGCAATGCACCCAGATATGCCCTACCTTACTGTTTTACTCTGTCTAATGCCGTACAGTTTTACTCTGTCTAACACCAGATGATTTTACTTGTCAAGGAAGAGTGCTGGCATTAAATGGGTTCTGTACTTTTGTATTTTACTCAGTCTAACATCAGATAGTTTTAGTTGTCAAGAGAAAGAGTTGGGCGTTACATGTTATGGGTTAAGTAATGAATAAGTCAATAAAACTGCCTGTCAAATTGAGCAAATGTTTCCTTGAGAAAAACACAAAATTCAAATACACAAATGTAAAAATTTGGTTTTGACAAAACATAAAAAAGACTCCTAGGTGTTAGCCATAAGCCTTGTTTTGATACAAGTCTTAACACACTCCTCTTGGACAGGGGCCATAAAAATTTTCACACAGTATCAGACTTTCACATCTTCCTTAAAGCTTCCTTCTTTTGTTGTGTCAACTTAAACCACTTCAAGGCCATCACTTCCCATCAACACTCCCTACTAGAACTCCAGGAAGAATAATTTAGAACTGATAGAGCTATCCAATATAGATATGATTAGTTTAGGTTAGGTTTCCTCCTGTAATGATACTGGACCAATGTAAAGAGATTGCTTTATAAGACCCTAGAGATATCAGTTTAGACATAATTAATAGAATCAAGTTCCACCTTGAGAAAAACAGAAGGAGAGAAGCCCTTACAAAAACTGTCTTTGCCATGAGTGTAGTTAAGTTAGTGCCAATCAAATGAACAAGCTTTCGTTGGAAGGGATGCAACTACCTGAAAATATATAAGGAGAATTTTGACGTTTCGAGCGAAAGCCCTTCATTGTAACTCCAGACGAAGGGCCTTCGCTCAAAACACAGAAACTTTCCATATATATTTTCATGTAGTTGCATCGCTACCAAGGAAAGCTTGTTCCTTACAAAAAGTCTTTTGGCCAACCTATAGGTTCCTGATATTTGCTGTGTTGGTATAGGAAACCTATAAGTATCCTACAGGAAACCTATAAGTTTTTGTAGGCAATTGGAACAGGGTGACCTATAGGGATGCCTATAAGCCTATAGAACATTTCCTATAGACTGTACTGGTAGGCCACCTACAGTATAGACTTTTTTCATAAGGAAGATTCAATCATAATATTTCAAATATCACTATTGAATATTTCAAATATCACTATTGAATACTTCTCTTCTTTTTCTCAAATATTGAGTTTCAAGATGCAACTTCTATTCAGTGAATTTGTTCCTGACGACTTTATCTCATGAAGTAATTGACCTGAGCAATGGATTTTTCATCCTATATAATTACACAGTCTTTTTCCCAACAGACATACATGTATGCAATCTTTCTCCTTCATATATTCTGCCGACTGGCAGACCAACCAACCGATCGACTGATTGACCAACCAACTGACTCACTAACCGACTAATCAACCTCATTCCCGACTATTCATTTTATTCCTGACCAATTCACTAATGGTTCTATTAGAATACTCTATCCAGTTTAATAATCGAGGTCATTGATTGAAACATTTCTTTACAGCGCACGCTCCATTTTATTCGCCCAAAAACCGAACAAGTATCCAGTACCCGTTTGCATCAAACACCCCTCACGATCCATCTATTAACCGAACTCTCCCTATCAGTCCTGCTCCCTCGCCTCCACCAGAAGAGCCTGTTGACAGGTAATACATGAAGTGCCAAAGTACTTTGTATAAATCTATATAACACTAATAGTAGGATCAATAAGAGATGATCCTTACTGGACCTCCAGGAAGAACAGTTTAGAACTGGTAGAACTATCCAGTATAAATAAAGTTAGTTTAGTTTAGGTTTCCTCCTGTAGTAACACTGGATCAATAGAGATTACCCCAATGGACTTCTAGGGAGAACTGTTAGAACTGATAGAGCTATCCAGTATAAATAAAGTTAGCCGTTTAGTTTAGGTTTCCTCCTGTAATAACACTAGATCAATAAGAGACGACCCTTACAAAGCCTCTAGAACGAGCGATTTACTCTGTTAGTTTAGACAGAAGTAATTAAACTATCCAGAATAAATTACATTAGTTTTTATCCTGAATGTATTGTACGTCATGTATATATATAGTGCGATAGAAAAACCCACTGGACGTCGACTGACACAAGAGGCGATGCGCAAATATCTACGGGATCTGGCAAATAACGAACTTTTAAACCAAACTGTGATCATTCTTCATGCAAAGGTCGCGCAAAAGTCGTATGGAAATGAAAAGAGGTAGGAAAGAAAGCGCTTCGCAGAGCAAAAAAATTTTGACTAACAAAGCAAAGGCCGCTGGTTCGACTCTCATCGCGGTCAAGGAATATTAGGGTGTTTTCCATTAAGGCCAGAACGGTCAAATTGTTGAATGGAACACAAAACATTTGGGCTTCAGACCTATCTGACCAGAAAATTTAGATAACATTAGAATGAGGTCCATTTTCGCTAGATATTTGAGAAACGTAGACCACATCTTTCCATTGATACATCAGGCCATTAAATGGAAATAACTAAGCAACCAACGTTTTACTATAAAGGCTGATTTCCACTGTTTTTCATACGTACGTATACGCACGTAAAACTTTAAATCCGTTTAAATGTTACTCATGAAATAACCAAATAAATAAAGCAACAGAATTTAGTGTTCCGCAAGTTTTAGTATGCGTTTGTTAACTTATTTGTAAAATATTTAAAAAATAGAAGGATTCAAAGTTTTACGTGCGTGTACCATAGATATCGTACATACACTAGATAGCGCATCTCTTGTAGTAAAATTGAAGCCAATAATATTCCAGCGGTTACCCCCATTTGAATAGATGGCGGCCATGTTGGTCGTTCCCACTTGCTAATAAACGCTTAAAAACAACAATAACTTTCATCATTTGTATAGTTTAAAAGCGTATTTGGAATAGGGTTAACTTAATGTTTAAGTTCCCTGTTTAATAAATAGAAAGCATACGAATCTTCTCATTTCATGGGAACGAACTGAGACTGCAATCACGGCTTCAATTTTTGAATTGCAGAATAATTAGATGCATACGAAAAACGGCAACAGTGGAAATCAGCCGGTTTTCATTAGGCGAAATTTTGCGCGCGGAGCGGAACTGTTTCTTTGTCTTGTGATTTCTCGAGTGGAACTAATTAGAAAAGACAAAGAAAGATTCCGTTCCGTGCGCAAAATTCCGCCTAGTGGATCAAATTCAAAAGATTTCTGTTTAGTTCCATCTGAGTGCTTGTAAGACAAAAGAAAATTTCGATTCGGGCGAAAAATTTCGCCTGGTGGAAAACCGCCTTAAAGCTCCCTATTTTCATCTGGCCCGTTGTGGTCACACATTCGGAGAGCATCTTCTTAAATAAAAAAATCCAATTTAGGTTCTTCTGTCCCCCGCCTTGCGTGTACTTGGTCGGCCAGGGATGGAATTGTCGAAAGAGTTACAGCACAACTACGAAAGAACGAGATAAAGACTCGGAGACTGTCGCATTCATTGGTATTTCCAGTGGAAATCATGGAGAACACGAATATCAGCAGTTGTCAATGGAAGACCGCTTAGTAGATAAGGTAGGTTGATTAGCATTAAGAACGAAAGTCCGCCTTGCTGTAAACGACGTCATTATCGTTTTCTTCAATTTACTTGTTTCTCGTAAAACTGAATTAGGCGCACTCTAAAACACCCTGATTAAAAATCAGGGTGTCCACGGCCCTTGGACATCCTGGAAAGTCCTTGAAGTGGAAAAAAATAATTCCAGGACTGGAAAGTCCTTGAAAAGCACTGGAAAGTCCTTGAAAAGCAGTAGAAGACCTTGAAAGTCCTGGAATTAATTTCCTTAAGCTCCAGCTGTGACCACATTAGTGATTTTGATTACAATTACTGAATAAAGTGATTATTTACGGCAAATACGGCAAATCAAAGTGCCATTTCCAAAGTTTTTTGTCAGTTCTAGGTCCTTGAATTTACTGAAAAAGGGCCTTGAAAGTCCTGCATGAAAAGTCCTTGAATTTCACCTTCACCAAAGGGTGGACACCCTGATTAAGAATAGCCTAAAACTAGAAGTTACTGTCGCAAGGAAAGTGCTCCTGGTTTAACATTTCCTGGCTAATTTAACACCAGGATTCGTGTATAATTTGACCAGGCTATATGGTTGAATTAACCAGAATGTCTGGTTAATAATCCATCTAACATGGTCTCGTTAATGGACCTATTCCCTAATGAACAAAATTTTGATCTAGACAAGTCTAGACAAAAATTTCATCACAGCTTGAAAGAGCATCACAAAATTAGTAA